GACTGGGGTAATTGGGATGGGTGTGTCAGAGGCAATGCAATTGGCACAGGATAGAGCAGGCTTTAGAGCTGTTGTACATAGGGTTGCTATGAGTCGCAAATGACTTGACAGCAAACAACAACAACAACAGTTCTCTCCCTCATCTGTTTCAATTCAGTGTACATTATTTATCCCCTCTGTTCTTAGTTTCCTCCAAACCCCATTTGAGTCCTGTTTTATAACGAAGGCATTATGCGGCATTTGTTCTTTTGTGACTGAGATATTTCACTCAACAAAACGTCTTCCAGTGTCACTCATGTTGTATAATATTACATGACTCATTTTGTATATTACATGGAGTTCCTTGTTTTTCAGTGCTGCACAGTATTCCATTGTGTGAATATACCACAGTTTCTCTATCCATTCCTTTGTTGATGGGAATTTGGGTTGTTTCCATCTCTTTGCTATTGTGAACAACACAGCAATGAACATGTGTGGGCATATATCTGTTTGAGAGGCAATTCTGATTTCTTTAGGGTATATTTCCAGTAGTGGAATTGCTGGGTCAAATGGTATTTCTATTTCCAACTTTCTGAGAAAGGGTCATATTGCCTTCCATAGTGGTTGCACCATCTTACACTCTCATCAACAGTGAATAAGGGTTCCAGTTTCTCTACAACCTCGCTAACATTTGTTGTTTACTGCTCTGTTGAATTTCGCTATTCTTACTAGAGTGAGATGGTATCTCATAATTGTTTTGATTTGCATCTCTTTAAAAGCTAGGGATTTTAAACATTTCTTCATGTGTTTGTTTTGCCATCTAAATGCCTTCTTTGGTGAAGTGTCTGTTTATATCGTGTGCCCATTTTGCGACTGGATTGCTTATCTTTATCTTGTTGTGGTGCTATAAGGTTATTTCTTATAGTGTACCTTGAGTAAAACAAAGGTAATGAACATAGATAAGTGAAATGACAAGTTTTGAAATAATTTTCTAATAGTATATGCTTCTAATTATTGTTATATGATTTATAATATTATAATGTCTTGTTTGTGACACGGAGACGGGAACTAACCCTCAGCTGACCCTCCTCCAGTGGGTTTTCAGAGGCAGTTAATCACATGGGAGGAGATTACCCATCCTTCTCCCATGGAACAGCTGGTGGATTAGAACCACATGCCTTGGAGAATACAGCACAGCTTTTTGCGACTAGGCCACCAGTAATTATTATATTATTAGCTTTCTAATTATATGCTAATAATTCTTATATGCTTCCAATTATTACTCAATTGTTTATACGCATGTAATTATTTATATGCTTCTTAGAAACAAAGGTGGGCCTTTGTATTTAAAAGTCAGTTGGGCCCTTGGGCCTGGTGTTTATCGTTTTTGGGAAGAACATTCTCCTAACTGATATAGCCCTGGTCTGTCAGTCTGCTGTACAGAGGTACCTTATGGTTGCTGTGATGCTGAACACTGTGACACTAATGTGTCAGCTGCCATAATGGTTACACATGGTGGACAGTGTTTTTTT